GGGGGCGGTCACGAAAGGACCGGATGGATTATTTAAGTCCAAGCTTAAGACACGCGGAAATCTCTTAAAGAAATATTGAAGATAAGATTTTCCGAATTCATATAAAATTAAAGAAGAAAGAAATGTTTATTTTTTTAACTTCTAAAATAAATATGCTAATAGTTTGCTCGTTGATTTTATTTACTGCAAAAGACTGAAGCGAATAATTTGAGCGTTAATGAATTAACATTTAAACGCTGAGTTATTTTCCGCGCGCGTTTGAAAAGATTGATGCAACGTTCACGCAATCATTCGCGGGGCGGACGCGCTCAAAACTCTCGTAAAGTTTTCCTTTTCACCGGCCGGCGCGGCCGCGGTGAAACTCTCGGCGACACTCGAATTATCTGTAAGAGCTCGTTAATCGTGACGCAAGTACGGGCGTACACGTGTATTTGCTCATGTCGTTTACATATCCGCGAATTATATACGCGCGGGGGACTCTCTCTCTCTCGCGCGCGCGCGAGTTCGTGCTCGCCACTGCGTGAAGCGTGAACGGCCGCAAAAAACGGCCGGTGCTACTCGTCTCATCTCGCGGTCATCGGGATATCGAGAGAAAGAGAAAGAGAGAGAGAGAGAGAGAGAGGTATTCGAAGCACGCGCGAATCGTGCTCCACGCGATTATACACGTGTCGCGATCGGCTCGTGACTTGTCTTCCAATTCTCGCGCGCGGCCGCGAGAGGCGAGGAATCGCCGCGGCCGTACACACGCTCGTGTTTACTCGGGTAAACCGCGATCGCCGTTACCGGTGGATTGCATAAAAATGACGATGCGCGCCCGCGGGCGCGTAATTAACGAACAAGGCTGCTAATTAACCGGCGCGACGGGCGGCCGACGTTACATACTTGTATTTCCTCGCGTACGTTATACGCGCGCGCGCCCGACTTACTTTTTCTTTCTCTCGTCGCACACCGTTACTTTCCTTCGTTGTTCTTCCTTTCGCGCGACCGTAGATCGTTATCTCCGCTCTTTTTCGTCGCTCCCGTCCATTTTACGTTGCAGCACGTATCGTTCTATGTCGAAAGTAGCAAACAGTTACTTTAACCTCCGCGAAGACGAATTTCTTTTAAGCTAGAAAGAAGTGATTTAATTGTTTGGTTCATTTATATTGTATTGACTTTAAATCCGTAACGATTAAATGTGGAGAAAAAAAGACGAAAAGAATTGAAAATGTACTTCAGTGATTATTGCTTGGTTTTCCTTTGTCAGAAATATTAGAATTTAGAAAAACTAAATGCAATTATACATATGTGCGTCATATATCTCTGAAGAGATTATTGATATTGCGTTCATGTTGATAACATATAGTGATATTAGTAGAAACGGTATATTATTATTATATTTTAAGATTTGTTTAATTTATTTCTATTTATAGTACACGGCAGTTATTAATTTGATTAAAATTTACAAGCAGCATATAATTTACGAAGCGCACTCCGTTTCGAGATGTATATATGGCAGTAAATTATATTTTATGCTTCGATTAGAATGAGGGGGATAATTACCGTTTACGTTGTGTATGTTTTTTATTAATAGTAGGCGACGTACATTAATTCGATTCTGTAGTAATGTTTGCGAGATAGAATTCGCTTTCCGCTTTCGCAAATTTACATTTATATATCCCGGCAAATTATATCTCGGCAAATTGTATTTCGATTAGAACGGCGATACATAATTGTAGCCTCGAGCCGCGTCTCGCCGACGCCTGCAATTATCGCGATTGAATAATTATTTGATGATTCGTGTCAGAATGCCACGTGAAATGTGGGACGATCCCTCTTTCCATCCTTTCTATTTTCGAGAGAAAAATGAGAAGCGCGTTCCGTCCTGATACTTGAGGAAAGTCTCACGAATAGTTTTCACGTTCCCGTGGAAAACCCGAAACTCGCGTGCGCGCGCGCGCGCGCGCACACAAGAGAGGTTTCACTTCGCGCACTGACATTTTCCCCGAGCGTCTCTTTTCTTTTTTTCCAGCGGAGGCAGGCCAGGAAGAGTAACGAGATCATCGAGCACAAGGAGTACAATCACCATCACGTCGCACAAAGGCACCGGATATCCCTTCGGGTAATTCGCGGAAGCTTTTAACATAACACATTTTAAAGCTCGTAAATCGACGCGTTACGAGTCGCTCTTCGGCGATAAACATTTCACGCGAAACGCATAACGAAATCTTTATCGCCGTATTTTTCTCCGTCTGGAAATATTTTTTCCCCACTTTTCGCGCCGTTATAATGTCGCGTTCTGTATATACGCGTGACGTACATACCGACAAGGCTGAAATGTTGTGCTGTACGCGCGGCGAAGATATTTCGTCGCCGGGTACAACTAATAAGAGAGAAAAGTGGGGGAAAAAAAAAGACGAAAAGAAGCCCGTCCTCTCGAAAAATTATAAGATTTCCGCGTCAGATAAAGTTTCTGTGCAAATGACACAGCCCCGCGCGCGCGCGCATATAATTATTGATCGCCACTTATCGTTGGTTCGTAGGTACTCGAGCAAATAAAAACGGTCATAGAGAACCGGAACCAGCTGGCCTCGGCGACCTCGCCGGATACGGCATGTATAGCGCACGTAAGTACTCTCGACGAGAGAAATTAATTCGTTCAGATCACCTCGCGAAAGGGCAAGCGACAACTGCAGTTTTCGGTCTGCCGATCTCTCGAAAACGCGGAGGGGACTTTCGTCCGGGATTATATCCGTCCGCGGGAACCTTTCACCGAAACAATTTTTTTTCCTCGCGTGCGTCTGCACTTAATAAATTCTCTTGCGGGTGGTTATTAAAAAATATTTTCTAAATTACAAAATTATGATAAAAATATTATCTACTAAATTACTCGTCAATTATTTTGCGATAACCGTCACGCGACCTAACTCGCGTTGTTGCCCAATTGCAGTCGCGCGTCCTCGTCCCTGCACCGATTAAATTTCACGTCGCGGAATCTGGCGAGTATAGAGTTAATTCTTTTTTTTTTTTTTTCACTTTTGCGGCGAGCGTGCGAGATTTTTCGAGGACGCGCTGATCGTGGATCCGTCGCGCACGTGCGGCCGAAGGAAGAAAGCTGGGCCGCTCTTCTTAATAAAGACAGAAAGCAAGGCGGGCGGACTCTCGATATAGCTCCTCTCCTCGCTGCCGCCGCTTCTAATTACCGCGCGCGCGTTTCACCCATTTTTTTTCCTAATACATTACATACACGCGGCGCGCATACGTAAGTGACGTCACGTTTCGCTTTTGCGTTTCAGGCGGCCGGCGAGCGGTATCAGCAGGAAACCACCGAGGTGAGATAAAGCGCGCGACGAGCGCGGTTACTTTTTACTCTCGCGCGGCGTATCGGCGTACGAGCCGCGCGCCGTCGGTTTGCCGGGGCGCAGTTTCGATCCGCGCAGCCGGCCGTCCGGTATCGCTCGCGCGTCGCCCGATAGCGCGGCCAAGACCGATCGCGGGCAGCCTCGATTCTTTTTTTCTGCATGCCACGTGTCCCGCGTTACCGCGTTTATCTTCGCCATGGGTTCGCCTTCGATTTCTTTTCTCTTCGTGAAATGACATAACGACGTTGAAATCGTGCGATTGTGGTGTACGCGAGTGTGACAAGTGCACGCGATCCCTATAACGAAGATGAGCAACGATGCGGGACGTCCGAAATCCGTGCGAAAGATGCTCAATAGGGTCCTGCTCGTGTCCTCAATCGTGTCAACCTTGAGGACTAGGATCGGGGTAAGAGGAGCAGGAGGAGGAGGAGGAATCTTCTCGTCTCCTCTCGTTACTCTCCGCGTTAATGCGAACTTTCTCCGTCGATAGCTCGTGAAAAAAAAAAAAACGAACGCGATCTCGCCGCCGCACCGAGGTGACAGCCTGTCATCGACTTTCCTTCCTTACGTCACACTCGCGCACGGCCTGTCTCTCGGTTAAAGATATACATACATGTTTGAGCCCGTAACCCGCGATTGAAATTTATCATTATCTGGCCGGAAGATTAGCTGGCGACGTCGAGACCATTCGGATTGGGCTCACAGTTGCCACCTTTAGTCTTGTCGGAGATCGATTTTTAAAATGAAAAACAAAATTTGTTGAAATACTCGACACAATAATTTGTTACTTTTTTAAAAAAATGTTTAAAACAAAGCTTGTTTGGCCGGGTATTCAGAACTGAAGAAAATTCAGTTAATTGTTATTCTCGCATAGAATTTTTATCAACGTCCTTTCTACACTGTTATTTCCTTGTAAAAATTGGCACAACAATTTGTTGCTTTCTTTGAAAAATGATCATTAAAAGAAAACTTGTTTGCCGGATATTCAGAACTGCAGGAAATTCAGTTGATTGCTATTCTCGCATAAAATTTTTACCAATGTCATTTCTACACTATTATTTCCCTGTAAAAAGAGATCATCAAAATTCAGAGTAATTTAATGAGAATTTTTTCCGGAGTACCGAAAATTCGTCCAGAAAATCGGAGAGGTGGAAATCGTAATTGAGAAATGTCCTTTTTCAAGCTTGCATCAGATTATATGTGATTCATGATTCGAGATAATTCGTAATTCACAATTACTATTCGTATGACATTTGTGAATAGTGCAAATGGGCATATTCATCGAGTTTGCATTCGTCGCCCACACACACACATTCGTTTTATTATTCGTGCCAATTCACCAGCAGCGAAGCAATTTTTTTTTACGAGATCAAAGAGCGCGAATCATCGCGCGAATCGCGCGTGGTCTGGCGCAAGCTTTTAGCAAATCGCGCTCCCACCACGGTGCGTCGTAGCGAATTAATCGGAGCGTTCTCCATTTTTAGAACCGCTTCGCCGTATTCGAGAGACATGGGGAGAGGAGCGGCGGCGCGGAGGAGAGCCAGCAGGGGAAGGTGAGTGCACGATCTTTACATGATCAAACACATATATCATTTGTATACAGCGTACATCCTACCGGTTTCGCCACTCGTCATCGCCACGCGTGCATTGAGAAGAAGAGAAAAACGTGTATATCCCTGGATACCCGCGCTAATCGGACTGCCGTAAATCAATCGGCGAAATTTCTGCAACAGGTGGCGAATGGCGAATCCGACGGAGAGAAAGAGAAAGCGCGAGAGAGATAGAGGAGCCCGTTAATCTCGTCTCTTTCTCTCTCTCGCGCGCGCGTTATTAGATAACTCTTTGTGTATATGCGCACTGCCAACGAATCTCGCTTAACGTGGGAACGATCGCGTTCGTTGATTACGAGAGATGCGTCTCCGTATGTATACATACCTATGTATGTAGCCGCCGTATAGTCGCGCATTATATCGCCGTCACCTCGCGTGCGGGTGACACCGGTGCTCGCACACCGGGCTCGTAACGGGAACCCCGACGAGGTCGTCGCACGACCGAAAAGGCTGTGACGTCCGCGGTGCGTTCCCCGCGGTACCCCCCTTTGTTCCCCCGTCCACCTGAAATATCCGGGTTAGTCGGAGCTGCAGGTTGTAAAGCACAGGTCGTCAAAAAGCAGCGGCGACGGACGCACCGCCGGCGTGTATATTTATCGTAATTCTCAGAGCGTCAAAAGTGCGGGCCTCCACGGCCGTAATCGCGCGGGGACAAAGATGTGGATGCGCGAGCGAAAAACTGCTAACGGCAGGAAGCTCTTTGTGGTCGCTGCATGCCGCGAATACGCTGATATTTCGTTCATTGTGCAGCGCCCCGAACGATAAAGCCTGTGTTTGTGATACACGTTGAAAATTCTCTTTAATATCCCCTAGTTATTAACATGCTTTTAGTCGTTAGCGTCGTTATTTCTACGAGATGAGCCAGACATAGCGATACGTGGCGTTTCTCCGCATCCAAACAATCTCGATGCGCGATGTTTAGTTATTTTAAAATATGAAAATTACGATTAATAAATCGTAATTTTCATAAACTTCCACAGTAATATAAAAAATAATCGTTATTTTAGAGGCAATATTAATAACGCTAAAGTCGCGTAACAGCTGAATAGTTAATTATCGTTCAGTTGACATATAAAATAATGTTTAATGAAGTTAATTTGGACCTTAATTTTTCTATATTAATACTAGTAAATCTATTATTATTAATATTTAATATTAGTAATAATTAACTACATTAATATTTCTTTATTTTAATCATAACGGATATTCATAACGAAGAGTTAACGGTTCACGTTAATTATTTGTCGCCATTATTTCATCGCGATTCTCTCCGAGGCGACACTTTATCTCTTTCAACGCGGCGACGAAGCAGATTTCATTTTTATTCGTCTTTCGATGAGCTGAAAGTGACAAAGCGACAAGATGAGAAGGGGAAAGAGGGGAAGAGTTATTCCGGGGGATCTCCGGATTTGTCACCGCGCCTAACGAGAGATATTTTTGGATCGTGACACGTTTACGGGGATCTTTCGACGCGCGAAAGCGAGCGTTCCGCGAAATGTAAGACAATGAGGACGAGGAGGAGAGAGAACCGCGCGCGCGAAGCCGAACACGCGGGAAAAACGCGTCCCGCGCTTCCTTTTACAGCATCCTCTCCGTTGTTTCAACTTCTCTCTTTCTTTCTCTCTCTCTCTCTCTCTCTCTCGCGCGCGCGCGCGCGCGCGTTACCATTATTTCCGTTTGCACGGCGGTGAATCTCCGTCCGACGGCCATTATTGCGGGCTTCGTGACGGACGACAGCCGTTCAAAACAATACCCTCGGGGCCCGATACGGGCCCGAGCCGCTCTTCGCGAAATCGTCCGTTCTTTGTCGCCCGCCGCACTGACTCAGTTTTCGCGCTATTAAAACACGCGTTTGCGCTGTATTGCCGCCTCGTCTGCAATATACGACAATGGTATATTGTCGTCGCTGGAAAGTCGACCGGGCTTTACGTTGAAAGGGAAACTGATTCCAGTGCACTAATTAAATTATCAAAGCTTCGCTATTTACGATCGTATGGAATCTCGTCGAATTAAGCCACTTTTTTGAACTATTTTAAGCGTAGAGTTTTTTAAAAGAATAACATCTATCCTATAATGAATATTGAAACACGACGATGCGAAAACGTCACCGCTACATATTTTTCTCTTACGTCAGGACTTAAAAGAACGTAGGCTGAGATTCAAATTAAAATCTTGTGATTGAAGTCCGAGCCGAGAATTGAATAGACGAGTCTAAGGATCGGCAACGTCTTCTTATTACGTACATATTTCTTCCGCGTTAGCGATCAATCCGTCCAACGACACGTATGAGATACGGAGACATTAGTCACAGGATACGGGAGAGAGGAGGG